AGCAGACTTTAGAACAGATTTGCCCTTGCACGCTTAAGGCTTCTCCTCTAAAGGACAAGACAGGAAGGAAAAATACTTCCAAGCAGCATGCCCAAGGCCAAGAGACGCCCATGAAGAGCACAAGGAGAGTTGTGCCTGGGGGAACTGAGGGTCACGGGGAACCATGCCTAACGCAAAAGGAGGGAGGAGGCCTCTCCAGGGATGAGACGCAGCAGACCCGGCCAGAGAAAGAGGGGAGAGCACAGCCACACCTCGGAGTCATGCCCGCCCAAGGGACATCCCAGGAAGAGCCTCCATCACAGCAGCCCTTTGCAGGCTCCCTGCACTTGAGAGCTCTTGAAAGGGCAAGGTCCCTCCTAGCCCCACGGGGTGCAGCATCATGTAGATGTGAACGATGCTGGAAGCTGAACGGCACTGCTGATCACACACACTTCCTGAGAATCGATTTTTTACGTTTTAAGTAAAAATGGGCAAGAGCTCAGCAGCCAGCTGTTATTTTTAAATTGGCAGCCACAAGATTTCCAAGACAGCAAGGACTTCTCTGTCTGCTGGCAGGTTATAGGACTCAAGCCTACTTACTTCCTGAAGTATCTTTTCTTAAGGAAAAGCACAGCTTTATAAAAAGAAAACTGTGTTCAGACCTTGTTTGGAGGGCTCTGGGGCAGGTGTGGCCAGAGTTTCTGAGGCTCCTGCCCAACATCCCTCCTGGGCACAGGGCAGGGCAGCACGTGAGCTGTAGGGACAAACGCCTCCGGCAGGTGGGCGCGTTTATGGTGCCTAGGCAGACTCAGAAGCACCACCAGACACAAATGTGCCCAAGGGTGACACGGCCAACACGGCCACAGCCTCCTCGTCACCCTGTAGGAGCCAGAAGTGAGCACTGCTGTGTGCAGCCACCAGCCGTTCTGGTCCCAAGCCAGCTTTGCTGGACATCAGCGTGTCCTAAGTCTACAATGCCATGCAAGCCTGCATAGCCATAACACAGACTCAAACGACTATGGTTTGGAAATATTTATAATCATAAACCTAGAAAATCTCCACTGAAAGTGAGATTTCTAGCTGAAACCCAAACAGAAACTACAGCAACAAAGCAACGGAGTGCTCCTTTGCTGTGGAGACATCCACGGGATTTTCCAGGAGCATAGGGCATGCGGCCACCTTACCGGCGTGCTTCTGAGGCCACCCTGATGATCTCCTGTTGTCCCAGGGGGGAGATGCACTTGTGTGCAGGGGGCCCTAGACTTCCCACTATGGGAATAGACCACATAAACTGTGCCAGCGCGAGTCTGTGCTGAGACAACAAGCAGCATCCGTGTGTCCGTAGGGGAAGTAGCTGTATGCGTCTCATGGGAGGGAGGGAGGGAAGCCCTTCCCTACTCCAGCAGGAACTTGCAAGGAGGGCGGGGGGCAGATGCCCAAGTCCTCTTTGCTGTTACAGAATGGTGTAAAGTGGCTTTGCTTTCTCGTTCTTGGAGAAAGCTCTGCAGCTTAGGCTACACGGTTGATCCTTTCCATTTAGTGTGACCACTCTAAAATCACTGCTGGGGGCACACTTGAAGGAAAGACACAGCGAGGAGAGCAGCAGTGCCGCTTAGGATTGCTCTGCAGAACCAGATGGCTTTCTGCGAGATGGCACCAGGATTTTCTTTAGGGCAAAGATCAGGTTAAACTTGCACTGGGAAAAGGCAAAGCCGTCTTTAGCAACCCCACCGCCCCAGTCTGAACTGTGAATGTACAGTCATCAGTATCTGCTGGTGCGATGCACAAGAGGCTGCCTGTCCTTCAGTGAGAAGATGCACGCGGCATTTTACAACAACACCTACGAACACAGGGATCACCAAGCGCCCTCAGTGAGCCTCAGTGTGGGGTCCAGGAGGACAGCAAGGCTGTGGGGGGCAGTGAGGGACGCCTGGTTGTGTGCCCTAAGGACACCTCACCTCACCATCCATTTAGACCTAGTGGAGCAGTGTAATGTGGATTTTACAGTCTGGCTTCATTCAAAACAGTCCTAAAGACTTGAAACTTGAGGCTATTTCCCCACACTACATAGATACACTGAGGAAGAGACCTGTAATTCAAGAGTTCTGTGTGGTGCAGTGCAGAAAGTTTGGTCTAGGAAGCAGGTGGACCCAAGAGCTGCAGTGCTTCTGTGTCACCAGCTTGGCTGCTCCATCTTTGTGCAGGGGACACTGGGGGTGGTCAGCAGCAGTCAGTCCTGACTTCCTGTTTTTATAAAGAAAGTTTTCTCGAAATACATCCATATCCACTATCTCCGGTTGCTTTCTGCTCCAAGAGTAAAAGAGAAAAACTGCAACGAGATTGTATGGCCTGCAAAACCCTAAAGGTTTACTGTCTGTCCCCTGACGATTCTGCCAGATCTCATCTGAGGGGCTGGGTGTGAACCAGGAAGGATCTAACAAAGTGTGTGGCTTGTGCTCACTGTTTTCATGAAATCAATACTCAAGGAAGCGAGCAGTGAGCTGGGAGTCGGCTTCCACTGCTGCATTCACAGTCCCTGGGCCATCTCACAGCAGCTTTTGCCCCAAGTACTTCACTCAGAGGACAGCAAAGAATCTCAATCTGTCCACAGTGGAAAGGCATCCCCAGACTCATGTACATTAAAAGGGCAGCGGGATGCTCTTTTATCTCTCAGGCTGGCAGAGCCCCGAGTCTGACATTACTCTGAAGCACTACAGGTGGAAATAAAAACTCTTGGAACTCTATGGAGGGAATTTTGGCAATATGTAGCAAAATTCTATGTGAACTGACCTCTTTGTGCTCAGGAGAAAATTCCTAAGGTATCTGGAGAAATACAACTGTCATTCATCTTGATGCAAATTTCCCTAAAAGAAGACACAGTGTCCACCTCCATGGTGCTGGCTGAGCCGCTGTGAGGCTCCAGCAGGAGAAGGAGGGGAAGCCAGTGGCCTGGGCCCATGTCTCCCCATTGAGCAGTGGGGCTAGGGAAGAAGGCAGGCGATCCTTTGTGAACACATTAACTGATGGGACAGATGAGCGATTTCTGTTAGGCAGAGGGGCCTCATCAGTTCATGTGCCTGGCGGGGATGGCACGAGCCTAGAGGATATGACACCCTGGAGGAGGTCACGGGGGCTGCTGGCACATCTTGGCTGTAGAACCAGGATGGGACAAAGTTAATGCTGCCTGTGAGCTGAGGACCAGAACCCTCACTTTCAGCCTGTTCAGAGCGGGGGTACTGGTGGGAAGAGAGAGCCGGAACCGTGGGGGTTCCCAGCCTCCCTGCATCATCATGCTCCTGCCCCGAAGTTATGAATAAGCTGGACACTGGGCAGGGCCCCATGTGCGCCAGCCCCCGAAGGTGTGCTGGGCTCACACCCTGATGTATTAGGACAGAGCCGGGGGAGATGGACTCGGAGAGAAGGGCCAGGGACTCAATCTTCAGCTCAGAGCCGAGCTCGGGGAACCCCACTTCCAGAAAGAAACATCAGGGGCTGAGCCCAAAGCTTGTAACATGATTAGTGCAGAAGGGGGCACAGCGCACATGGAGGAGAGGGGAAACCAACGTTTCTCTGAAAACATTTCATTAAGGGTGTGTTCCTAGAATTTTCAAAAATAAATCCAAAGGGAAAAATGTTGAAATTAAACCAAATTATATATACAGTCTGAGATATGATCACAGAAAGAGAAAAAAATTTTAAATCCTGTACTTTTTGGTCTTTCGATTACACATCCTGAATAGAATATCAAATTAGGAAAATGCAAAATTTTAAAACTATATTAATGGTAACATCAGTCTTTTTGAGGATATTATATATGCTTAAAATGAAACATAAGTTTTGTTTCGAGTCACGATTTTCAGGGAAAAAAGATGAAAAATCTAACAGAGAAATTAAAACTTTGCAAAATTACATTGGAGTTGGAAATATTCTATGAATTCAGGATTTTTCATTAAAAGTAAAGTAAATTTCCTAGTTCCATCTATCGACAAAGCCCAGAAACAATGACCCCCCCAGAATGGATAAGCACCCCTAGTGTTTAGATTGTGGTTTCAAAACACACTTCCTCATCAAGAAAGGGCCTCACAGGTGACCAGAGGATTCCACACTGGGATTCCACTGAAACTTGGAAGTGAACACTAGCAGGTTGGTGTCAAAAGCACAAGAAGCTGACCTCAAGTTGTTCTCAAAGGCTCAAGGTAGAATCATTTGAATTTAGATGACACTGATGGGGTAGAATAATAAATCAAACAACATCACAAACAGACAAAGCTGGAACAGAAGATGTTCTACAAGACAGCAGAATTGTTTTTTTCCCAAGTCAACAATATAAGGAAAACCAAAAAGAGCTAGAAAAGAAGGGATGGGTGCTGCTGTACCCAAAGAGGCTCAAGAGCTGTCACAACGAGGGGTTGTGTGGATCTACAGCACATCAATTCAGACCACAGACAATGGCACTCATGGGATGACCAGGAAATTTAAATGTTGACTGGGTATCATGGGAAGGTATCAGGCACAGAAAAGGCATTATGGGTGTGGTGGAAACTGCCCACTGTTTGCCAAGATGTGCTGTGGCCGCATGGGAGGCACTAACAGGATGTTCAGGTCTTGTCAATACACGGGGTGGATACCTGGCATTCACTTCGTAATTCTTGGTGCTTTTTCTGTCACATTTCATAACATGAAGGAAGGCTCGAGAAGAAGGAAATTTCCCTGCTGTAGAACCTACCATGCCATGCGAGGTAGAGAACCTAAGACAGCATCAATCTAATTCCTGTAATTCTCTAATTATACAAAGTAGGTTTTACACTGTTTCATAGTCCAAGAAGCATTTTCACCTAAGTGGTCCTATGTAATCTTTATTTCCACTGTGTGTGCAGGCAAGGATTTTACAAAGTAAAGCTCTAGCTCTACAAGACCTTGTGACTTAGAGAGGCAAAATGGCACCAGATCCAAGGTCAAAAGTTACTCAAAATAAAGCAGGGCAAAGTAACTAAAATGGAGTCGTGCCAAGACCTGCTTACCTTTCAAAGCCAATCTGCCGAAATGTCTTTTCCCAGGTTGAGCCTGTAAGAAGAGAAGGAGAGACAGAATCAGTTCCCCTCAGGCACGAGGATGACTCTCTCTTATGGTGACACTGTGTCAGGATCCACTAGGGGAAATGCATGTATTCATCACTGCAAGCGTTAGTCATTTTCCTGAGGTGAAAACAAGTCCTCTCTTCCAATTATTTTGAAATATAAAATGTTATTATTTATTCAAGCCATGCTATCACACAGTCCATGATAAAAATCTCTTTCTCCTATAAAATGGCAGCCTTGAACCCAGGGTCACTCTGACCGCTCACCCTCATGCCAACTGCTCCCACTCTGGGGACCTCACTCCGCTCTCTCCTTCCACTGCATTGGTTTTCCAGATTCCACAAATGGAACCCACACAAAAGTAAGCAAATGCCAGTAGCGCAAACTAAAAGCTTCCACAAAGTCACCCCTACACACCTAAGGGTGTCCAGTGCAGAATCAGACCTGTAAAACTCTCTTGTTTAAAATAATGAAATAGCACATGTTAAGTTGGGGATTCTGACATTCAGCTTTAAATTTCATACTGACATCCAGATGAGCCTCTGAAGTTTCAACTCATTAAAAGTTATGCCTTTCTCTTACTGATATTAAAGCACAGGATCAACATATCTTTCTGTAAAAATTACAGCTATTTTTAATCAGAAGAACACAAGAATGCTATTACAAATCACATGAGAAATATACCCACATCATAAAAGAATGTACAGCTGGGTATAAAAAGGATTGTATCAGTGGTGGTGAACCTATGACATGCATGTTATTATGGTTTTTTAAGACATAAGATGTTAATGTATGAGTTATTTTTTCTAAACTAAAACCTCAGTATTCAGGTTTACTTGCAAAGTGTTGGCACTTTGGGATAAATAAGTGGGCTCTGGGTTGCAGTTTGGGCACTTGGTCTCTTAAAGGTTTGCCATCACTGGCCTACATTTTATCCCTGTGATGTTTCTTCTCCACATTATAGGTATATAATAATTTTCTCAGTAGCTGATATGTAGAAAAGTGCTAATATCTGTCAAAAAGTATTTTAATAAAAACTTTGCATGTTCAGGCATTAAGAGTTTGTGCTAATCCACAATTTTACATTCTCTCTATGTTCTGTCAGTGGCAAAAATACTTTGATTTCAGTAACGATTGCAAACAACTACCCACCCTGCCCTAAATTCATAAGCTGTGCTGTGCTATGCACTAGCTGCTAAGCGCAGCAGGTCTCATGGATCCCTGCTCTCTCTCTGTAAGAGAGGATTCTGCCAGCAGGTGGGGAACACCCACTTGAGCCTGCACAGGCAGCTAAGTGGCTCTGCTTCTTTCCTAGGTCCAAACAAACTGGATGGCGCTCATGTTTCTTTCTTCTGAACTCTGCTTGAGGCTTTATCTGCAGAGGTCACACAGATCCCCACCACAGCAGAGGAGCAGCCCAAGCCAGCCCTGAGATGGAATGAAGACAATATCATCGAGGTTTGAGGCTACATGATCATGATGTAGCGTCTTAAATAATTTTATTAGCAATAAAGAACAAAAGTTCACATATGAATCACACACACAAATTTAAAGCAGAACCAGGCTTTGGTTTTGGCCGACACCACTCTGACTGACTGCATTCCAGCATCTGTGTGGAGCAGGAGAGCAACAGTGAAGGCACACTGTGCTACCCACCCAGACCACTGGCCCGGCCCAGGGAAGCAGCCTCACAGGGCATCTTCTGGCCTGTGTCTCATGGAGACCAGAAAGAACCTGGCTCTGGGACTTGTGAAGACAATGATCTTGTCCCTGAAGTCCCAGCAGTTCAGGCAGTGGCCAGGTGGAAACAGAGCATCCAAGGGCCATGGGCCACACCCCGTCTTCTGCCAAAGGTCAGGCTCCCACCCACCCGTTGAGCAGCTGGAGTGGGAGGGTGTGGGAGGCGGAGACGTTCTCCAGGAGCATGCTCTGGGATTCTCAGCTTCTGGGGAGAAACAGAGTGCTTTTTAAGGTTTTTGTATTTCCAGTCTTCTCCCAGATCTCAGTAAACTCCCCCAATTTTAAAAGACCTTAAGAAAATTATTTTTCTTAATAGATGTGATTTACTATCAAAGCAAAATTTTAAGAACCAATGTGCTATAATGGTATAGCACCAGTTATTGGACCAGTGGCCAGAAACACTGAACGAAGAAGGCATCTGTCTCCTGCTCTGAGCACAGGACTCTTCACAGGCAGGATGGATTGGAGGTCTCTGGGGCAAGCTCCCCAGTCCCGCTGACTGCTTTCTGTCCACAGAAATCAACTCATCAGTAATGTCAGGGCCTCACGTCCCCTGGGCTCACAGTTTCTGCTGTCAGTACTTTCCTAACCATCCTCTTATGCTGGGAACGAGGCTGCACACATAAAACACAGCTCCAGTCCCAAAACCCCCAGTGTTCTGGAGGCTTAGATCTTCACATCTTCTGTGAGCACTTAGCCATGACGAACAAGAAATACATGATAAACGGAACAGACGAGTCCAGAGCCTTTGGAAGCCAGCAGATTTCTGGCAGCTCATTACTTCACTGCTGGGGAATTCTTTTAAAGCCATTAAGCATGCTCTACATGGTAAAGGGATATTACTCCCCTCTGCCAAAGCAGCCAATGTGGAGAAAATATTAAGAAGACAAAAGAAGCTGGCTGGCTCCCTGGACAAACGCTTTCACAGTGAGATTCACAGTGGTTTCACTTTCTGCAGTTTTAGTCACCCGTGGTCAACCACAGTCTAAAAATATTATATGGAAATTTTCAGAAATAAAGGATTTGTATGTTTAAAAAATCAGTCTTTATGCTTTTATAATTGTTGTTCTTTATCATGAGTTATTGTTATTACTCTTACTCTGCCTAACATGTGAATCAGGCTTTTTGTCACAGGCTGGTACGAGTAGGGTGAACGCAGTGTGCACAGAGGACACTGTGGCCTTGGATGTGGCCCCCAGGGAGGGGGACAGCTGTATACTACTGAGACGCCTAAAGTGTACTGCATTTCTCCACAAAAAGCAAACAACAGCAATAGCCATAAAAATAAAAATACAAGCCTAAGGAAGCGGCTACAATTCATATGAGCTTTTTCCCTCTTCAATCTTAGGCAAAGTAGAACCAATGAATCAGGATTCTCCACCCTTAAATCTGCCTCATTGGCCCCAACACCTGACTGATTGAGCTGACAAGACAAAGAGTTTGGGACTGCAGCAAAAGGAAAAAGGAAGAATAGAGCAGTTTTGTGATCAAAGAATTTTTCATCATTTCTAGCCATATTTTAAACCAAGAAAGTGGATATTTTCCCTAAAATTGACATAGCAAACAAAGCAGCTTGCACAAGGCCTTCCAAGGTGCTGACCTTGTGTGCACATTAGCTGACGCGATCCTCCACCCAGCCTGCAGATGGGGACTGATTCTGCCCCTTCCCAGGTGAGAGCATGAGGTGTGGAGAGGCTGGGGCGGGGCCGCCACTCTTCGCTTTTCACTTGTGCTTTGTGCGGTGTGCGAGCCTGTGGTCTTGCGTTCCTTTCTGCTGGGGTTGGGTGTGACCCCTCCGTGTTCATGGACTGCAGAGTGAACCCCCGACTCAGCTGTGGGTGGTATCTGGAGGTGGCCTCTGGGAGGCACTTCAGACGGAATAGACCCTATTCTGATGGCACGCATGTTATTTGTTTTTCTTCTAAGACAGGAGATGTTGATATGTGATTTGTATTTTTCTAAACTGAAATCTCAGTTTCCCGGTTTAACAGCAGTGTTGGCGCCTTGGGATAAGTAAGTGGGTTTGGGTTGCAGTTTGGACACTTGGCTTTTGAAAAGGTTCGCCATCTCTGAGGAATGAGGCCCTGGAGCCCACCCCAGAATGGCACGAGAAATTCTGCCAGAAGACAATCGGGGCCTGAGCTGGCAGCTTGGCCTGCCTCTCACGTGATGCCCCTTCCTCAGTACAGCACGACCGAGGCCCTCACTTGTAGACACCTCACTCTCTACACACTAGCCCACAACCCATCTGTGCACTCAGCTACAGAAGCAGGGAGTGGACCATGCCACCTCCACCTGCATTTTCCTTCCCTTATTCTCCTTTCATAGCATTTGTCTTCTGCCCCATCTGGTTAAATACAGAATTCAAAATAAATTTATCCCCTGTGCTTCAGTGTGTGAGGTTGTTAATGTTGGAAGCGTGTGCGCGTGTAGCTGAAGGTGTCTGTCCTCGGCCCTCTCCCTCATGCACAGTCCCTAGTGTGTGAGAGGGGACAGGGTGGATATTTTCATTTCTGCTAATCTTTCTGAAGGAGTAGTTTGAAACCACAGGGCTTTGCTTGTGCTGGGAACTGGACAGTGAATTCCCGCAAGAGCTCCGGCTCTGGTCGTCTGTATTTCCCAAGCTGCTCTGGTCTTTCTCTTCCCTTCATGTCACATGGAGGGGCTCTCAACAGGTTCTTTCCAGGTTGAGATTTTGTTTTTTCACAAATGTTATCATGAGAAAAGCAAATCTGTCTTTGTGCTGTGGCCTGTCACTCAGCATCATGTTTCCCTCTCAGTTTTATCTGCCATGCAATCGGTCCATTTAGCACCCAACTCCAACCACCACAGAAGCCGCCTGACCTTCCCTCTAGGTTTCCTAACGCATTGGTGGGGCTTGGGGGCCACACGGGTATTGAATTCAGTGGCCGGCAGCTTTCCACCGGGGGCATCTTGGCCTGTAACACTTGGATTGGAACCAGTCTCTGCTTTTTAAAAATAACCGGCAGAAAATGACTAATAATTCATAAAAGTAGTTGTTTTTTCCAGCATATTCCTATAAAAATAGAAGTATGAAGTGTGATAAAAATATAGCATGTTTAGACTTTTAAAAACTATTACAGTAAAAGACACTGCCACTAATTGCCTTCTCAACGTCTCCCGAGCTTTGAACACACTCATCCCGTTGCTCTTGTCACTTTCCGCAGCAGCTCTGCAGTCCTCTTTCCTGATATCTTTAGCTGCACTGTCGTGGCTGCCTAAATG